CGCGATGTGTGCATGAATTGTGAGAAAGTCCAGCGCGAGAGCGCGATTTGGGAATACATTGTGAGGAAGTATCCGGCGGGAGCCGCTGTTGTAAACAGGGGGTCAGGGGCCCAATTTGAGCCCCATGACTTTCCCTAAAGAACTGGGTGTGAGCCCGGGGGGACGGACTTCAATTGAGGAATGCTCAAAATAGTCCAACAACAACGACGACGACAACAACAGTAACAACATTACCATTCACGACAACAACACCAACAGCAACAACAACACCAACACCAACAGCAACAACAACAACAACACCACCACCACCAACAACAACGTCAGCAGCAACAACAACGTTGCATAAGCTTCAGCATTTTGCTGCGCAGCGCGGTCCCACCCGCACAGGGACCTCCAATACCAATGGCACTGGAAGTCGCCCCACCGGGGCAAAATAATACCACTCGCTGCGCGGCGAAACAAAGGCTGGGTCGGGCATGCCCCCCTACAAAGTGAGTTTGGACGACAGAAATTTGCCAAACAATGCTCAAACATAGTCACTAATGTTGAAAAAGCGTCGTCCCCAGATCATGTTTTGGTTACTCCTCCTGCAGAGGGACAAACCCGACAACATTTGTTTTGGCGAAGGACCCAACCATATTCAGTTGTGAATAACGCATTGTGGGTGCCGTTATCGGTGGGGCACGACACGCCTGAGGGGCGCGCCGTAATGGGTGTGGCGGACGCGTGCGGGTACCCCCACTGGGGCCTTCGGTGGAGCCCCTATGGGGCCACGAAACGCTGTGCTGGGCGTGGCGGACGCATGCGGGCACCCCCACTAGGGCCTTCGGTGGAGCTCCCTATGGGGCCACGAAACGCTGTGCAAGGTGTGGCGGACGCATGCGGGCACCCCCACTGGGACCTTCGGTGGAGCTCCCTATGGGGCCACGAAGCGCTATGCTGGGTGTGGCGGGCGCATGCGGGCACCCCCACTGGGGCCTTCGGTGGAGCTCCCCATGGGGCCACAAAGCGCCGTGCTGGGTGTGGCGGACGCATGCGGGCACCCCCACTGGGGCCTTCGGTGGAGTTCCCTATTGGGCCACGAAACACTGTGCTGGGTGTGGCGGACGCATGCGGGCACCCCCACTAGGGCCTTCGGTGGAGCTCCCTACGGGGCCACGAAGAGCTGTGCTGGGTGTGGCGGACGCACGCGCCCCCCCCCACGGGGGCTTTCGGTGGAGCTCCCTCTGGGGTCACGAAACGCTGTGCTGGGCGTGGCGGACGCATGCGGGCACCCCCACTGGGGCCTTCGGTGGAGCTTCCTCTGGGGCCACGAAGCGCTGTGCTGGGTGTGGCGGACGCATGCGGGTACCCCCACTGGGGCCTTCGGTGGTGCTCCCTATCGGGCCACGAAACGCTGTGCTGGGTGTGGCGGGCGCATGCGGGCACCCCCACTGGGGCCTTCGGTGGGGCTCTCTATGGGACCACGAAGCGCTGTGCTGAGTGTGGCGGGCGCATGCGGGCACCCCCATTGGGGCTCTCGGTGGAGCTCCCTATGGGGCCACGAAGCGCTGTGCTGGGTGTGGCGGACGCACGCGGCCCCCCCCACGGGGGCTTTCGGTGGAGCTCCCCATGGGGCCACGCATGCGGGCACCCCTACTGGGGCCTTCGGTGGGGCTCCCCATGGGGCCACGGAAAGCCCCCTATGGGGCCACGAAACGCTGTGCTGGGTGTGGCGGACGCATGCGGGCACCCCTACTGGGGCCTTCGGTGGGGCTCCCTATGGGGCCACGAAGCGCTGTGCTGGGTGTGGCGGACGCATGCGGGCACCCCCACTCGGGCTTTCGGTGGAGCTCCCCATGGGGCCACAAAGCGTTGTGCTGGGTGTGGCGGACGCATGCGGACACCCCCACTGGGGCCTTCGGTGGAGCTGCCTATGGGGCCACGAAGCGCCGTGCTGGGTGTGGCGGACGCACGCGGGCACGCCCAGTGGGGCCTTCGGTGGAGCTCCCTATGGGGCCACGAAGCGCTGTGCTGGGTGTGGCGGACGTATGCGGGCACCCCCGCTGGGGCCTTCGGTGGAGCTCCCTATGGGGCCACGAAGCGCTTTGCTGGGTGTGGCGGACGCATGCGGGCACCCCCACTGGGGCCTTCGGTGGAGTTCCCTATGGGGCCACGAAGCGCTGTGCTGGGTGTGGCGGACGCACGCGGGCACTCCCAGTGAGGCCTTCGGTGGAGCTGCCTATGGGGCCACGAAGCGCTGTGCTGGGTGTGGCGGACGCATGCGGGCACCCCCACTGGGGCCTTCGGTGGAGTTCCCTCTGGGGCCACGAAGCGCTGTGCTGGGTGTGGCGGACGCATGTGGGCACCCCCATTGGAGCCGTCGGTTGAACCCCCTATGGGGCCACGAAACGTGTGAGGAGTGCACCGAAAAAAGTGACGATGACGATCATGACGGTAGTGGCGATGATGATGATGATGATGATGATGATGATGATGATGATGATGATGATGATGATGATGATGATGATGATGATGATGAGCATGGTGATGATGACGTCGATGGTGATGGTGATGGTGATGGTGATGGTGATGGTGGTGATGATGATGATGATGATGATGGTGGGGAGGAGGGGCGAGGAGGAGGAGTGAACGCGGGACGCTGTCTCTTCAAAACGAGGACCCAACACCACACGATGGTTCGGGACAAGGGCTTGGGGAAACAATCTGCATGGCCGAGAGCGAAATCGAAAGCGTTCGCCAGCCCCCAAGCGCTGGGCCCCAGGCGTTCGCGGCGCCCGCCAAAGGGTTCGGGTGCCCGGTCGACGAGCACGAAGGGCCCCAAAAACAATCGATACCTTTCGAGAGCAATGGAGAATCACGCCTGATCCCGGGGGGGTAAAACAAGTTGTAGCTTTTGTCCTCGGCAACCGCAACAACGACACACTTGTTTTACGTCGCAGCGCGGCACATGTAGGCCGCACGCGCGTTCAGGCGGCCTGGGAAACGGCAGACGCTGACTGTCCGGCGGCAAGGGGGGGGGGGGGGGGAGAAGGGCGAAAGCGGCCGCGGAGGGGGAAAAAATGGGGGGCAGTGCGAGGTGGGGATTTATCCATATCCACCGCCTGGGACCCGACGTCCTTGTGCCCCAGCGGGCGGTGGATATGGATATATTTCGGCCCCTGGGGGCCCGAATATGTCCACATCTACCGCCTGCCGAAGCTCCGAAAGCTTACCCTCCAGGCGGTGGTCATGTATAAGTTCCCGCCTTGGAGGCAGATGGCTCACAGGGCGGGGCGCTTCGCCTCGGAGCGGTCCGTGCGGCCTGCCAGTGCTGCATCACCCCGGCAGCAAACGCGCACACAACCTGCGCACAACATGTCCAAAGGGGGGCGGTCGGCCCGGCGTCGGCCCCGCCCGAAGCGGGCCCCGCGCAGGCCGCGAGCCAGGCGGGGCTCGGGCGCGCTCGCGCAGGAAGGCCCCGCCGCCCCCGACCCTGATCGGGGAGGCGTGGAGCTCTGGCTCTGGGGACTCGGCTTGGCCTGACGTGTGCGTGCTTCGTTCGCTCCCGAAATGAGAGAGCCTGGCCCTGTCGGCTCGGCCAGACCGACCCACCTCCAGAAAGCCCTCGGCGAGGTACAACTGGAAAGCATCCCGAGGCTGGGAGACCTACCTCTAGGCGTCCATGAACACTTCCAGAACCCCGAACCTCGAACCTAGGTTCTTGGCATGTGCGTTTTGCGACCGATGTCTGCACCGCGCGCCCCACCTCGATGATCATCAGAACGTGAGTTAGCGCCCGCGTGTGCTTCTCCACCGGAGCCTTTCGGTGCCAAGCAGGCGGGGCCACAAGCTGCGGTCGAACTGAGGGGAGTGTGTTCTTGCAGCGGTGACGTGGGACACGAGGCGTCGAGCAGCAACAGCCGGGACGCGGCAGAGCTGGTAAACAAAAGACTATTGGAGCGGTCAGAGGAGGAATAATCAACGCAGTCCGAATCCTCAGGCCGCCCCCCCCAGATTTGAGCAGGGACCGACCGTCCTGGCATTCCAATAGTCCTACCACGAAATGTTCTTAGAACCCAACAACGTTCTAAGAAAAACAATGTTCTTGGAACCGATGTGATAAATCAAGACAGGCTCCGCCAGAAATGTTCTAAGACAATTTCGTGGAAACCACAAAAGGTTCTTAGAACATTGTTTGGTAGGGCTACAGGCGAGCCAGGACGCTTCGCTACTGCTTGACTGATCTCGCCGCCACAACGCGCGGCGCCACAACGCGAGGAAGAGGACCGGCAGGAGGTGAGAGCGAAAATGATGAGGGGCATGAGCCCAAATCCCTGCGGCTACGGAGTGATCCAGAGAAGGATCACAAGAGGACTTCGCTCCTGGAAGGAAGAGGAAGAAGCCGCGCTCAGAGTGTGCAAGACACCTCACTCACTCGTAGTGTCGGCGCCCCCAGGCTCCAGTCGGAGCCGTGCGAAATGGCCACAAGTTCTGCACGGGACACGGCCAGGAATGCTTGCTTAGCGTGTCGCAGCGACGGCCCTGGCGGCATGCTATGCCGTGCAAGTGGATGGCTGCGCGGGGCAGTTGGGTGGAAAAGGCTCGGAACGTTGACGCTCGGGGACCGGGACGTGGTAAAATTCGCGCGTCGCGCTGCAGAGTGGTGGGCCAGAACCGGCAGCACGACACGCTGAGCAAACGCTCCTGGCCGTAAGCACGCATCTGGCCAACACTCCTGAGGATCACCGACCGTCACCTCTGGCCGCCTGGCCAGCGGTGCTCTCGACCCCCAGACCGCCGACGTCATGTTTTTTCATTACGTCGACCCCTGGAGGTCTCGACCCGTTCCCCTGGACCGGTTCTTCATCCTGAGCCGTTTTTTGACGGTCCCGAGGGCCGGTAAAGGCTCCCAAAGGCCGAGAACGACAGAAAACCTCCCGTCATGATTTTTTCATTGCCTGAGGGGGTCTGGGCCACAACCGCCTCTCCCCCCCGCGGGGGCGCGAGACGCGGGGCTCCGCCCGCAGTTTGCCCTCGGGGTCGTTCCTGGCGAGGGCCTCCGGGCGGGCACAGGATGCAACTGTTAGGTCGGCATGTCCCCCTACAGGCGGATTTTGGACGAAAAATTTTAAATAGTAAAAAACAAATATTCAAAAAAATATAGCATGAAAAAACGTCCCCAGACTACTTTTTGAATTTTGGGATATTCCTCCTGTAGAGGGACAGGCCCGACTTAATGCAACTGGCTCTGGGCTCGCCTTCCGATCCCACCTCGGTCCCGACCTCCCCGCGCTGCGCATCGACCACTTAAGGCCACGGGAGAGGCCCTCGGACCCCAGACCCCCGACGTCTTGATCTCTTCACAGCTTAGACCCCAAGAGGTTTCTCATCCCGAGTCGTCCTTTGACGGTGCCCCGAGGCCTGGGAAGGGGCCCCGGAGGCCGAAAGCAGCGAAAAGCCTCCCGTCGCGACGTTGGTCACAGCGCGAGAGGGTCTGGGGAAGCTTTCGCGGAGTCCCAGAAGTTCCCCAGCCTCGGGATGCTTTCAAACAGCTGCGCCTCGCCGAAGGCGTAACCAGGCATGTCCAGCTCGTCCCGCACGGCCGCCGGGGCCCGACGTACAGTGGGAGCTCGACCACAGGAGACCTTCCACAGGAAACCCAAGCCCGAGACCCCAGGACGCCCATCGATCTTTGGTGTGGGAACGCCACGTGGCCCGTGGCAAAACCATCGGAGCCCGGGAACCCCGGGGCACCCTGGAGGCCAGCAGGGTGTTTCTTGGCTTGGGCTTCTGCTGCGTGGTCCGGAAGCCCGGCCCGCCTGCGTCGGGAGGAAGACACGGCGGGCGGTGTTCGTCGTCGTCGGCCCTCCGGGGGCCCTCGCCTGGCCCCCGAGAGGCCGTCAAACCAGGCCCGGGAGGAGAGGGCGGCCCTGGGGAAGTAGTCCAGACCTTTGGGGCGTCGCTGCGCCAGGCATCGCAAAAAGTCGCCAGTCTGGGCCCTCCTCGCCTGAGGTCAGAAGCAGCGAATCCAAATGCAACACCGTGGGAGGTCACGCCCCAGATCGGGGGCCAGGAGGACTAGGGAGGAGGACGAGGAGGACGAGGAAGAGGAGGACGAGGGAGAAGGGCGAGGAATGAGGACGAGGGAGGTGGACGAGGAGGATGATGGCCATGGCAGCAGGAGGACGAGGAGCAGGGCCGATCGCGAGCCCCAGAGACTCGATGCTTCTGCGGTACTCCACGATCCAGGCCCTGTGCGAAAAGACATGAAACGCCCGCCATGCGTAGCGCTCTCGCGGTTTCGCCCCATCGGCTACGTCTCACCACCTTGCCAACGCACCTCTGACGTGCACGGCCTCCGTCTGTCTCTCTCTCTCTCTCTCTCTTTCTCTCTCTCTCTCTCTCTTTCTCACTCTCCCGCTAATGTCAAGAACTTTTGCATAGGATGTCGCGCAGGTTGCACCACCGACTCACTGGTATCGCTCTAACTCCGCTGCGCGGGGCGGGAGGCTGCTACAGGCTCATGACTTTCACGCTCAGGGACCAAGACGCGGGTAGCATGTCGCGCCGAAGCGAAGCGTGGTGGGTCAGAACCGGCAACGCGACACGCCAAGCAAAAAGTCCCGACCGTAGATTTTGCGCAAAATACTCTGCACATGAAGACTCATATCTACGACGTTTCAGACCCTCTTTGAAGGTCTGCAAGACTTCAAGGGATCTGGGTCCAGGGCGCCACTACATCTTACCGCCTCCTCCTGACCCCCATCCCCCCCCATTTCCAACTTCGTCCGCCTCCTCCTCATCCCTTCCCTCTGCCCCTCCTCCTCAGATGATCGCCTCATCCGTGAAGATGGGCTCTGGCACTCTTGAAGTATTGGTGAGCCTGGTGATCCTCCTGGGACCCTGTGCGTGACGGAGGCTGCCAGCGACACCCCTGCCTCCCCTCGACGGACCGATCGACCTTGCGGCTTCTGGGGAGGGCGGGCAGGGCGGGGGTGAAGGCTTCGCGCTGAGCGGAGCGCGGTCATCTCTGCGCCCTCGCGCCGCCGCCTGCAAAAGGGCCCGGTCACCGATGGCCAGTTGAGGCCTTGCTGATGTGAGGAAGGAGGAGTTAGGAGAGCTCCAAACAGTACACCACCACCAGCCCTGGCCAGGCCCATCCTGGGCCCTGGACTGGTGCACAGGCCCTCCTGGCCTAGGCCTGAGGGTCTATACACCAGTCCAGGACCCATAATGGACCTGGCCAGGGGTGGTGGTGTCTTGTTGGCGTCCATTTGAAGAGGGAGGAGGGCTGCCGATGTCTCAGTTGGGTCTCCCCTGCAGTTCGAGACGCGCGACGCGTGGATATCTGCATCAGCTGCCAAATTGATGAATGCACTTGCGGAACTCCCCCTGGACTTCTTGAAGAGGCGCCGGACCCCTGCCACGGGCTCGAGGAGCGCGTGAGGAGTGGCGCCCAAGGAGCCGCCAGGGGTGTCCAGCGCCGACCCATGAAATCCGCGCGAGCTCCTCAAGTCTATGCTCACGGACTTTGTTGTTGAGGTTCCTGTGGATGCCGTTGTGGCTGCGACGGCCTCCGTAAATTCGAGGAGCCTCGACATTCTGAATGGTCCGCGCTCCCAGCGCCAACCGGCAAGGAGCAACTGCAAACGAATGCTCCAAATAATCCGCCATCCAGTTCCAAGTCATTGACCCCGTCCTGAAAACGTTTTGTGGGGAGCGTGGGGTCTGGCTTATCAGGTCGGCCACTCAAACACCGCAGCTGGCGGGGATCTGGTTTGTTAGAGACCCGTCGCGCGTCGGCTGGTTGTCCGTGCAGATTCGCTGATGTGGCCACTGCCCTGCGAATCGTGGTTTACATATCAAATCGGTGCCGCCATGTTTCTATGCCTGTCACGGGCGCGTCATGGGCCGGATGCGGAACTTGTTTTTTTTCTGCGCGCGGGGCGGTGCACGCGCGAAGTTCCGCCGCCGCGGCGGCTCTGCGTTGCTCGTTCAAGTTCGGCGCGTCCCCCCAAGCCCCCGTGGAGGGCGCGACGCCCCGTTCGGGGCAATAGCGCTGATGCGGTGCTAAAACTCGCGCGCGCACCCTTCCCCCCCTTCCTTGAGCTGTCGCAACTTTCTAACCCCAGTCGTGGTGGCGCGCCTGAGCCGGTTGGGAAAAAAGATCCGGCGCGCATGCTCCGCTGCCTGCGATGACAAGGGGATGCCTGCACCATGCTACTTGACCTGCCAGAAAGGACTGTGCGTTACCATGGGCGGCGCCTGCGCTGATCAATACAAATGCCCGCGGCGCCTGCGCTAACAACGCGCTAGCGAGGACATGACTGCGCCCTGTTATTTGACGCGTCTGCGGCGCCCGTTCCTGGCCGCGCGCAGCGCACGCGCGGATACACCGACTACCTCCGCAGTGCCTGCGCTGACAATTCGATTGCGAGGCGACGCGTGCGTCTCATTACTTGGCGTGCCTGTGGTGCCCGCGCCGAGTCACGCGCCCTGGGTCCGGGCAGTGGCGGGAGCGGAACGGAGCGGCAGTTGGACCGCGCGTCCTCGGCATGACGTCGCTGGTCTTGACATCAAACTCCGCGCTGGAGAGGTCGACCTTGCGGCGGTTCACCGGCGCGCCCACCTCACCTGCCAGGTCGCGGAGCCCGGACAGAGCGCGGCGCTTCGTGTTTTTGGCTGACATTCGGTATCGGGATATAGCAATCAACGTTGAGCCCAAATAGCCACGGATGGCATCGCCATGGATGCGAAGATGATGGCGACGGACGTGACGGCGATGGCGACGAGGATCACGATCATCTACATTGCACCCCGTCGCGCGGATAGGTTCCCAGTGGGGTATCCCTGCTTCGTCTGGATGATATGATTGGATAATAAGATGAATTTCGAAAGGCCTGCAGGGAACGGCCTTGAAGGCCAGCGTCAACGATAGCTGACGGAACACGCATGATACATAGTATCTGCGGCTCGTGGAAAGTGGCAACACACAGTGCAAATTATATAAATGTCGCCGCCGTCGCGCCCAGAGATAATCGTAAGACCATGGCTGTTGTCGGCTTGCTACTGCCCGTAAGCGGCGAATTTTTCCTCATGCCTCTGAGAGTGTTTGTGGCCCGGGCTAGACGGACCCCACGCTCGTAGCGCAATCCGTCGCCCACGCTCGCAGTTCACCAGCTCGGCCAAGATAATGCAACTTCGCCAGGGGGGCGCAAAAAGTTCAGGCGACACCTTCGGAAGGGGGGTCCCAAGAATTGGCTTGCACAGGAAGCGGGGGGAAAACAATTGTTCCACGGGTGGTCTTTATGAAAGTCCGGGAATCCCCCCCCCCCCCTCCGCCAACCCCCTTCCTGCCTCCCTTCCCCAACCTCCGCGCTTCGTGGAAAAAACGGCGGATCATGTTTCATAATTTGCAGCCTCCGGGGGGCCCGACGCTGTGACAGAACTACCCGATCAGGACGTAAACGCGGGCCCGGAGAAAGCGTCGAGACTTCCGGGGGTTCACGCTCTGAACGTCGGTCTGGGTCCTTCTCCCGTCCCCCAACCCCTCCTCTCCGATCCATCCACGCAAGTACCGCGTAGGCCCCCAAGCGCATCATCCTCTCCTCGTCCCCGCCGCCTTCTCCACGTCCCCGACCTCTGACGACTCGTTGTTTTCTGGTCGTTGGCCTCTTGAGCTCTCGAAACCTCCACTGGAACGAAATCTTCATCCGGAGGCGTTGTTTGGCAGGGTGCAAAAACGGCCTCGGTACGTCGAACATTGTGGTTGGGATTGGCCCGTGTTCGTGGCCCGGGCGCTACCCTTTGGAAGGGTAAGCCCGTTCAGCGCACGCTCGCGTGGCAGTTGACAGTTCAAGTCTTGCCAGAAGCGATCTTCAGTATGGAGTGAATGCCCTTTTCTGAGCCTCGCTTGCCCATCGATGCACGAATAGCGCCAGAGGGGGGACAGACATGGATGACATGGACGATGCCAAGTCACCAAGCCCCTTCCACAACAAGAGTGGTCCTTACTCAAAGGTTTTGGCGTTGCTCCACGGCTCCCCTGCTCCCTCTCACCCTGCACCAACCGGTCCTTCCTCCCCTGCTGTGCGGCATTATCCGCCACCTTTCCTTTTCCCAAAAACCCAGAAACCTCTGATGGAGATGGATGATTCTATTGTTCTCAATCTGCGGGGTCCAAAGTCTGGACCAACTCCAATGGAACACATGTTCGTTCCAGATCAATGTTTGTGGCACCAGAGCCAACCGTGGGGGCCGAGATCGACGGAAAACGCAGGTAAAGGAAAACTCAACTCGCCAAGGGTTTGGGAACCCGTGTATCCGACGTCGTGTTTCTGTTAACTGGGCACCTCGCTCGAGACTGTCGTTTCGCCCAGAATCGTTTTTGTTGACAGTCCAGGGGCGCGACAAGGGTCTCGCCTTCCGAAAATCCTCCGTCTGATTCTTGTCACGACGCGAGGTCAGGGAAGCCGTCTCTCTTCCCCCTGCTCCCCGATACTCTTGGACCTCTCCGGGGGCGCGTTCTGGAACTCAAGGCCCGCAATTATCGAGGCATGGATGTTGGAACCTCAAGGTTCGATCCTCTGCCCTCCTCATCCTCATCGTCGGGGTCTTTCCCCCGGCCTCCCCATGGAGGGGGGGGGAGGAAGAGGATGAGGAAGGGGAGGGGGAGGCAGACGAAGAGGGGAAGGATGAGGTCGATGAGGATGTGGATAAGGAGGAGGTGGAGGTGGAGAAGGTGGAGGATGAGGATCAAGAACGAGGTGAAGCTCCCTCCCTCTTATCCCCTCTAACATCGAATCAATAAATCAGATCGGTCTGGCCGCATTGGCACGGATTCGAAATCGAATCGACCCAGCTGCACGAAAATGCACAACGCATCTTGCCGCATCGGATCGTCGGAACATCGGAATCGAATCGGGCCAGGCCAGCCGACACCGATACCGAATCGGACCGATCGGATCAGAACAGATTCTGCTCTGGGGAGGGTCCTCGTAGAGCTCGCGGTACCTCAGCCTCTTGGACTGCTCCAGGAGCTGCTGCGAGTTGCCCCCGGCCTCGGCGGAGCCGCACGGTGGCGCACGACGGCAGGACACCGAGGAGGACGGCGACGAGGAGAAGCAGCAGAAGTGAACCAACAGGAGACGGAGGATCGAACCTTCCAGGGTCCCAGGCCCCCAACGCCGTGGTTTTTTCATGACGTGACCCTCGGGAGTCTGGACCCCTTCCCCAGGACCACCTCCTCCTCCCGAGTCCTTCTCTGACGGTCCGGAGGCCCGACGGAGGCCGAACACGGCGAACACTCCTTCCGTCGTGACTTGCTGAATGCCTCGAGGGGGCCTGCAGGTGTCGAGACTGGGGCCACCCGCCCGGGGGCTCCCCGTCGCCACGGTCGGGCTCGCCCCGAAACAGATTCGGACCAGGAGGAGCGCCGGCTTCACTCGCGTCCAGAACGGGCGTTCTGGGGGGGGGAAGGGCGGGGGGGACGGGAGGGGGCATCACGTAGCGCCTCTCCCCCCCCCCAGACTGTGGTGCTGGACGCGCTGCGGCAATGCCGGGGACGCACTGAGGGGGGAGCGTTATACGCTACGGCGGGGGCGGGAGGAGGCATAACGCGCCGCGTGATCGCCAGAATGTAAAATTACACCAGAGAAAAAACCCAATCAATGGATGGTTTTCGCTGAGAAGATCGACCGGGAACCCGACAGCCCGGGAACCCAAAACGCACCGAAATCGGCCCGGAATCCAGGATCGGGAACCACCCAGGATCGGGAACCCGGGAACCCAGCCTGCTACCAACATCGGAAGGAAACTTTCGCCAAATCTTGCAACTTCCGCTTGGGCGCCTTCAGTGCCAGCACTGACTGGGAAACAAAATGCTCCTGCGGGAAGCGGCGCTCGCATGCAGCTCCTGGCGGCTCCTCTGCTGCTCCGGGCCCGCCGCCCGAGGGGACCTGCCCGCTGCGCGCAACACCTCCTCCGGAGAGGTCCGGTCAGAGGCCCAGGCACGGGCCAGGAGCATCGCCAAGGGCCTCCCGTCGTGATCTCGTCGCCTGCGCGAGAACTGGGCGCGAATTCGTGGGGGGGGAGGCGATGTCCCCACCTCCCCCTGTCGTCGTGGGGCAATCGCAGCGGCGCGTTCTGAGCAGAGTTCGGCGTCCGGCGGCCCTTGCCAGGCCCAGGGGCAATAAAAGCACGTGCCTGCAATACGTATATAACATCAAATGCGTTTAGATGCGATCGCGCCCAGGTGCAGGCGAGAAACCATCGCATCTATTGTTCTGCAACGGCGACGACCTAGATATTATTTCTGGATGCGCGCCCTCGGCCTGCGCGGGAACGCCGCCGTATCTAAACGTATTTGTGTTTCAAGCAGATGTTAACATTTGGAACCGTATACATTCCTATTCAACTAAACCAATATATTCGTATCTAGTTCTTAAGGGCCGACAGTGCCGCGCCGTATTTGTTCGTGTATGATTTTTGTCAGAACGAATGCTGTTGGCTGTGTTCTCGGCGCGAACAAGATCCATGATATTGGCCGAAGCAATGATCAAAGGGATGGAACTACTGGGAATCAGTATCGATGAGGAGTGGGAAAACGAGCGACAACGACAAAAACGACGAGGATTAGGATGGATAACAACGACGAAACGAAATGTATGAGAGAACTGGGTTGGCACAGGGAACCGTAGGACGGGGAGAGCAAAGAGGAGGAGGAGGGGAAGGAGGAGGAGGAGGAGGAGGAGGAGGAGGAGGAGGGGGAGGAGGAGGAGGAGGAGGAGGAGGAGGAGGAGGAGGAGGAGGAGGAGGAGCAGCAGCAGCTGAGCAGAGCAGAGCAGAGCAGGGCAGCACCAATGATCCGATGAATCCAGACGCCTCGAAACAACCACCTGCAGGCCCTCAAAGAAAAAACAAAAAAAAAGATCAGGTGTTCGAGAACCGCTTAGGGGGCCAACAATCTATGGGGCCCTGCAGGGGGACTCCGCTGGCAAAGCGAGACACTCTTAGGGTGACGCCACGAGGGCTCGCCCGTACACTCCCTCGCCGCGCAGGGCCGAGGGCAGGCGACGAGCGAACCGACCCCAACACAACCCCAATCGGGACTCACGGCGCGGGACTGCCCAAACGTCCGAGGTCCGCGTGGACCCCGCGACACGGCCCTCTCCCAGAATGCTCTCAGCCAGGCGCAGCTGCCAAGGGGCCTCGTAAAGCGCCCGAAACCGCGCGGCGTCCAGGAAAGCCAAAATTGGGGGAGACCTAAAACAACGGACCTCCAGGGCACCACCCGAGTCTGGAGGGCGAGGAGGGGAGCATCAGGCAGATGGCTCTGGAAGTAAAGTTCAGCGGCTCGGCGCGAGCCATTCACTGCAATAAGACGGGCCCTCGCGGTGGGCCGTGCGCTCACGCGTCCGCGTCCTCCTCCTCTGTCCTCGAGGCCCAGCTTCTGCGCGAGCTTCGCCGCCTCGCGTTCCAGCCCGCCTCTCGGCGGCGAGCCTGGCAAATAGGTTGCATGGAGCTATTTCTCCTTGCTGCTCGCTGCCATGAGGGTCAGCTGCAAGGCCTCTATCAGCGTGTGCTGACAACTCTCCCACTTGTTCGCCTGCTGCGGGGTTCCGAGCATGATCTGCAACTTGAAGCGATCGGGAACCTTGGCCTTCTTCTTGTCGCGCCAACAAGCTTTGATCCGAAAATGACGGCAACAGGTGGCCATAAGCTCGAGCGCATCCGGAGCCATTATCACCTCCTGCCAGTAATCCTTGGACAGCTCCTGTACTGGCGCTGGCGTGGTCGCTGCCCCGTCCGTGCAGGCCCACTTGATGAATGCCTTGCACACATGGGGCCACGGCGGCCCGTACTTGTGGTCCTTGCCGTCCGCCTTGCAGCTCTCGGCGCAGGCGCGCCCCGCCTTCTGCAGCACCTTCACGAAGCCGACGCCCGCCCCGACCATGTATGTAGCACGCGAAGCAAGTGCCAGTCACCTCGGCCAGCTCGCGCGAGTTGGTGAGGAGCGAGCTTCGTGAGCACCAGAAGCAGGGCCGCCAGCGCGCCACCTTGAGGAGGCGGAAGAGGAGGAGGAGGAGGAGGAGGAGGAGGAGGAGGAGGAGGAGGAGGACGAGGAGGAAGAGGAGGAGTGATTCGGACGATGGGCGCAGACGTGGACGGGATGAGGACGCGCGGCGAGGAGGCAAGAGGAGCGAGGTGGAGTTGAAGGGAGCGTCAGAAGGGAAACGTGGAGGAGGGTGAGTCAGGACGGGGATGAAATCGTTCTGCTTCGTCCTCCTCGTCCTCATGATCGTTCGGCTCGCCCGCCGTCAATGATCTCCCACTTCACTTCCTCCTCCTGCTCCTCCTCCTCCTCATCATCATCATCATCGCCGTCCTGACTGGCATGTGGACTGTCTTCCCTGTTCGTGGTCGTTGAGCGGCTTAGGCCCGGCAGTACAAACATGGCACCGTATCTATCCGTATCAATGTTCGGTAGACATGTTATCCAGAGGTGGGCGCCAGATTAAACCGTACCTAAACCGATTTCAGCCTAGCTACATACATACATGCATACACACATTCATACACACATACATACATACATACATACATACATACATACATACATACATACATACATATATACATACACATACATACATACAAACATATATACATACATACATACATACATACATACATACATACATACATACATACATACATACATACATACATACATACATACATATATTCATACGTACACACATATGTATATATATGTGTATATATATGTATTCGCATCTAAACATGCACCCGTATATAAAATTTTGGCGAACATATACCTCCTGTACCAAAACGGAAAACGTGTCTGAATGCATCTGTGTTTGACGCACATCTATTCGTATCGAATTGTCTTCATGAAAACGCTGCAAACACATATGATTCAGAGAGAAATTTAGATACCATGCGGTCCTTCCGAATGCAGCTGCCGCTGGGGAAATTAGCAACTAAAATCAATGTTTAGATAAGCTCCTGTCCCTGGGAGAGGGCACAGATCGGCCCACGTTGCGGGAAAGAAGCGACGTTGTGGCGATACTTTCGGGCGCGGCCTAACCGACCCCGAGCAGGCAATCCCCTTCCCTGACGTCACCTTTGCCTTTCGAGCTTCCCTCTGGCCACGTACATCCGTCTTGGGGCGAGGCGAGGGGAACGTCACGGGAGGGGATGGTTTGCTAGGGGTCGGTTATGCCTCCCCTGATTACTGGGGGAGAAGGAACGTGCCCTATTCGGGTCCTAGAGGCCTCCTTGGGGGCCCTGAAGGGCCTAGGGGCCCTAGAGGGCTCCTCAATGCGGCCCCTCGCTGCCCCCCCCCCCCCCCCTTGCATCGCTCCCCCCCACGACGCGCCCCCCAAGAGAAGGTCTGTGGAGGTGGTCTTGGCCTCCAAGGATCCACGCGGTGCCCAAAGTCACGACGTCGCGGGTCTGTGACGGGAGGGGCCCGGGGCAGGCGGAGAAAGGGGAGGGAGCGGAGGACGTCTGCCAGATGCTCTCTGGGGCACACACGGCACCTGCCTCAAAGGTCAGGCTAGGCGGCGGGTGCCGAACGAGCAGGAACCTGCTTTGCACTCTCGCTCCCGTCGAATGGCAGCGGGACCTGCGGCCACATTCATGTTTTTCGACTCTGCCTCGGCAGACGCAGCCAGGAAGTGCAACTGCAGCTGCTGCAGCCCCGACAGCGACGGTGCAGCGAAAGGCACCAGAACGCACTGGAGTTGAGAGAGCAGGAGGAGGCGACCAGGTGGGAAGGCCAGGCGTGCAGGATCTTGTACGAGCTTTGGAGATGCGGGGAAGGCGGCTGCAACAGATCTCTGGACCTGATTCTGATATGTGCGGCAGCTGGAGCACCGTCTGGAACGGCTGGCGCCATACATGCACTCAACCATCCTCGAGCGGCGTCGCAAGCTTCCTCGTCACCCGATCCGCAGAGTCAATTCGATGCAGAAGGACTTCTATGTGGTTTCTTTTCTGGCTGCGACATTCTGCTTCATTGTGTGTCGCACTCGCTCTCAAGTGGGCTACTTCCACAGCGGCCCTTTGGATTTGTCGTCCACGCTTAGTGGCCAGGGCCGCAGCCCACTCTTCCATCCGAGTCCAAGCTAATGGTGCCCACGATCTCCTGGTACTGTACCAGCCACCGTGCCCTCGAGGCACGAGTTGGAGTGTCCTCAGGTCATTGGCCTAATCGCTTAAGCCTCAGCCCACAATCCTCAGGACTCATTAGGAGGAGCCTGGACTCGAAATTGCCAACTCTCCTGGAGCTTGGCGAGGCTTGTCGCGTTACTTGTTCGGCGCCAAGTGGGCCTCAAGACGGGCCCAGAGGTCCCCAAGGGGCTCCGAAGACGCTCCAAGAGGGCCTGGAATCGCCGCATGATCGATCCAAGACGCCCAAGATGGTCTCAAGAGAGCCCAGGACGCCTTCGAGACGCCCCTAGAGAGTCCCAAGAGGGCCCCAGAGGTCAGAATCATGTACGTCCCTGCAGTGTGTGCATTGCTTCTGGTGTTCTCTCCGTTTCGAGCTTCCGACGACGGCCCAAGAGGCCCCCAAACACTGCCCAAAGACGACCCAAAAGAGGCCACCAAGAAGGCCTCGAGACGGCCCAGCAGGGCCCCCAAACGGCCATGCCCAAGAGGCCCCCGAGACAGCTCCAAGAGGGGGCCCACACGGGGGACCCGAATGGACAGTTCGAGCGCTCGGCCCCGAGGGGCAGGAGGCCCCAAGAGGCCCCCAAGAGGCCCCCGAGAGGCTCCCAAGAGGCCCCCAGGAAGAAGCCCCAGGAGGCCCCCCAGAGGCTCCAGAGAGGCACAACAGCTGCCCCCAAGAGGCCCCCGAGAGCGCTCCGACAAGACCCCAGGAAGCATCCCTGAGAACTCTGACCCACACAGCCAGGCACGATGGCAGGATGGGCCGAAGGCCGTTCGGTATTGCGTATGGATCGGGCGTGGGCGTCGGTGTCGAGAGCCACTGGCAGCCTCAGTTCCCCCCCTGGCCTCGTCGGGCTCGCTTCGCTACCTGCTCCAGCAACGACGACGACGACGATGACGACGACGACGGGCCGACCGGCAACGATTGACGACGGTCGACAGATCGACCGGCGACCACCGATGGTGACGGCCACAAACCGATCGGCATGCCACCTAATTTCGCGCATTGCTGTCTGCGATGCGCGACTTGCGGTTACCTTTGGGCCCTGGCGCCGCCGCCTGGCAGGGCAGCTCTGCTGCCCAGAGTGCGACGCGCAAAGCGCCACCATCTTCGCGCCCCCACGGACGACCTGCGGTGACTGACTGACCGATCGAACTACAGCGAACCCAGACCTCCCCGACGGTCTGGAACCCCGAAGGTGTAGATCCCGAGTCGTCATTTCACGGCCCCGAGGCCCGGTCAGGGCCTCCAGGAAACGAAAACGGCGGCGAAGCAGCAGCTGTCGTGACTTTTTCCGAGCCGACGTGTGCCTGGTTTGCAAGTCGATAGCTCGGGTCCCCAGGGGCCGTCTGGGCTGCTGGAAAGTACCCCGAGGCTGGAAGACGTCCGGGAATCCGCGGAGCACATTCAACAACTGCACCTACACAAAAACAACAAAAGCGCTGTCGCGAAATCACGCGGGAGGCCGTGGGGCGGCGCTCGAAATTAGGTAGTCCGGGTCAATCGATTCGTCGTCATCGCCGTCGGTCGCCGCTGGCGGTCGCCCGCAGTCAATCGCCGCCGGTCGGTCCGCCGCCGTCGTCGTCGTCGTGATCTTGCTGCGCAGCTCGAGGTCACGCGAGAAGCTGCGGGGCGGCCTTCGGGGAGAGCCTGCGCGCATCGGCGGCGGCGTCGGCGCGCTGCGCGGAGGCGGTGGACTGCGCCGCCCTCTCGCGGCCAGACTCGTACAGGAAGTCGCCTCGCGCGTCGGACGTGCCGTTTGTTGCTTCGTAGTCCGTGCTTCATCGCACACAGAGGAGCACATCCACAAAGTCCCCATCCTAGATGGAGAGGGGGGAGGGGGATGTGGCAAGGAGGAAGGAGAAGCAGGAAAAGCAGAGAGCGAGGCGGGAGGAGGGAGGGAAGAGGCGGCAGGGGGAAAAGAGGAGGGGGGAGCGGAAATGGAGGACCAGCAGCAGCAGCAGGAGGGGGAGGGGAAACGTGAGGATGGTTACTCTGTGGGCCCGAAGGGCCGAATCAGTGGCGCCCCTGGCGGTCAGGAGGAAATTTTGGGTGCCGGGATGTAGTTGTTTTTCCCTCGATGTTTGGTTTGCGGGTGCCCTCTCTGGATTCCTGGGCCGTCACACGCACACATCAGAGCACGAAGGGGCAACCCCACGGGAGGGTTTGAGAACTCGTAGGACCCGCTGGTCAACAAACATCACGACGTCGGAGGTCTCGGTGATACGCCCATGGTGGAGTTTCTGCTGGGCCCTTCCAACGCACGAGTGGCTCTGAAGACAAGAGAAACCTGTGGTGGTGGTGGTGCGCGATTCTACTCGGGCGTGGGGGAGAGAGTAAAAACCCACAGCGCACACGCAACTCCTATCGCACCGTGCCTAGCGACCGGGGGACCCAAATGGAGTTGCACCACAAAGCACTCCGGTGCGGGGTCACTCTTTCGTGTACTCGGCGGCCCAGACCTCCGACGTCGTGATTTTGTTGCAACGTGGACCCACAGAGGTCTGCATCACTGACCTGGCCCGTTGTTTGACGGCCCTCGGGGCCCACAGAAGGCCCCTAACTTTGCGTCGTCATTTATTCACGATGCACGGGGGCATGGATAATGTTAGCCTGCTCTTAATAAGAACAGGCCAGGCGCGTAAAACATATGATTCCCTGCTCGGGCAAATCGCGGGGGGACACCCGCCAGATGGAAACACACCACACCGGTGATTAGCGCCGACGCCGGGCCAGCAACTGAAGGGCGACAGGCGCGATGCAAGCTGCGCCGCTTCACCTGTGGTAGACAACAGCGCCTCCGCTACAGCGTAGCGGTTGGGCCCAAACCGCTGCAGACAGGACAACAGGAGCCGGGAAGAAAATGCATTTCAGCTGGCGGTCGGTGCCGGCATGGCTACAAACAAGAGCGGGAAGAGGGGGAGAAGCGGCAGAAGCAGGCGGCAACGGCTCCCCCCTCTCCTTCTGCACCTCTTCCCCCTCCACCCCTCCACTACAGTAAATTCTACGACGACGACGACAGGCAACAACGACGACGACGACGCACTGCGGATGCCTTAAAGGGGAGGGCTGGTGCTGCCTAGGCCCGCTGGTGTGGAGGGGGGGTGCTGCGCAGGCCGGCTGATGTCGACGACGACGCCGACGCCGACGCCGACGGCGATGCCGACGACGACGACGACGCCGACGACGACGGAGACGACGACGACATCGACAACGATTTCGGCAACGACAACGATAATGATGACGATAATGGTGACGACAACGACGACGAGGCCGACGACGACGATGATGATGATGACGACGACAAAGGCCGACGACGACGATGATAATCACGACGAAGGCGACGACGACGACGCCGACGCCGACGACGACGACGACGACCGACGACGACCACAACGAAACACCACCGATGACGACGACGCACTGCGGATGCCTCGTGGGCGGGGGCTGCGTAGGCCAGCTCTGATGCGGTGGGGGGTGCTGCATAAGCCCGCCGCTGCAGTCGACGGCGACGAGAACGACGACGACCACGACGACGACGGCGGGGACAACGACGACGACGACGACGACGACGACGACGACGACGACAATGACGACGATGCGACGACGACAAGGGCGAGGACGACGCACTGCGGACGCACCATGGGAGGGTGGCTGGTGCTGCGTAGGCCCGCTGTGGATGTAGTCAGCGTCGTCGTCGACGACGACAAGTACTGACGACGACGATGACCACGACGACGACGGTGGCACGTCAACAATCATCCTGAGAAAGGGGAACGAACTTACCTCGGATGCATACGATCCCGATTAGATATCTATACGGCAAGTAATCGTTTTGAGGCTGCCGTGCAAAAAATACCACGACCCCCTTGGCGGCATCCGCGACGACCCCCTGGCGCGCGTCGTTAACAAAAATAATGTTGCGCCCCGCGGGGTCTATTCATCAGCCTCGGGAGGGAGGAGGCATCATTGATCAAGCAGAAACTGACATTCGCTGACAGTCGTTCCTCTGGGAATCGTGGTTGAACGTAAAAGGAACATGGGTCTCATGATCTTCAATAGTCAAACCTGGGGCTTCACCATGCGCGGTCGTAGATCTATTCTGGGGAGCCTCAATGAGAGAACTCTTGGGGAGAGCCATGGCTTTGGCAGCAACAACGTCCGTTAAGCAATATGTGAATGCGTGCGCACGCGCCGAGCTGGCCGGCCGAAGGGCGATGGGAGGCGCGCGCGGAGACCTTTTCTCCGCTTGGCTCACAAGATAGCTGCGGACAGTACTGATGCATGCATCATCGATAGATCGGCGAGTATGTATGTGTATATATATGTGTTTATATATATATGTGTTTATATATATATATATATGTATATATATATATATATATATATATATATATATTACAGCCCACCTAATGAAGCGAGGCGGCGGCGGCAGCGGCAAAAGAGAGGACGCGGAGAGGAGCATATTAACTCTGACGGAAGGAGGGCGATGCACCAGCGACGTCAGCGATGTATCTGAGACGGCGGCGCGGAGAATACCGGAATGGAGCCGCACGGCCAGTGCATCTGCGATGCGGCACGATCATCCGACCACGTCTACTGGACCACTTCGGGAGCCGCACAGCTGGCACAAACGATGACAGTTCCCTGCTGCAAGACAACTGGGAACTCTTTTGTCGTCGACCTTCGACCTTCTCGAACGCCCCAGCGTTCCTATGAGTCCCCAGGGCCGCCGAGGGGCAAGACAGACCAGTGGGGCACCTCCTGGCAGGCTGCGTATTCTTTTACACCAAAAATACGCAGTGTGCCCGACATACGGTCGGACACTGTTGTTCAGTGTGTCGCGGCGGCGGCCCCGAAGACACGCCATGATCTGGAAACGCATGGCGTGTCGCTGCGCCTCGCGTGGCGGGAGGCGAGACAAGGCTCGGGACGTTGACGCTTGGGGGCCAGGACGTGGTGGGCCAGAACCGGCGGCGAGACACGCTAAGCCAAAGCCCCCGAACGTAATCGGAGAAGGAGGCTATCGGGCCCCGATCGGGCCCCAATCGGCGATCGGTGGACGATCGGGAGGCGATGCGCCCCCCCCCGAGCCCATCCCTGCCTGACGTTGCCCCTGACTGGTGTGCCTTCTGCCCTCGAACGAGGAGACGGGGAGGGCGACAACGAGCAGGAAGAGCACGTTTGCCTACGGCGAGAGCCTCGCGACGTCGAAGGGTAAGGACGCGAAGGACAAGGACGCCACGGCGCTCGCCGCCCTGCTCCTGCAGATCGAGGGCCCCGCGGAGCTGGGCAGCAAGGCCGCTGGCGCGTGCTCTCCGAGCCGCCTCGACCTGCTGGCCTACGTCCCGACGTCGGCCGACTGCGAGACCCTCTCGTCCCTCGGCGGCAGCGAGACCCCTCTCGTCCCCTGGCGGCACGGACGAGCCGAGAAGGCGGGGAGGGCAGGCCTATTGGCAGGTGGTCCTTGTTCCGTGGCACGAGCGGCGCACGGCCCGTCTTCGGGCGGAAGTCCGGCGACGGGTCCCTCTTGTCTTGATCCTGCTGGGGAAGCGAAGGACAGGGCCCACACTAGTTCTGATTACTTCTGTGTTCCTCGTCCATGTGATGGGACTGCATGCGGCGAGCGAGCCCATACCCACGCCCTCGCTGTTTGGATTCTGGATTCCGGGGTAAAAAAGCCCCGTGTCCATGGAGTCAAAGCCCAAGGGCCCCCAGCGCGAGTCCGTGGATGCGGGTTCGTTCTTCGCTCGCGACGTACGGCATGGCATGTTCTCAGGGTATGTTCCCCCCTCCCCGTTGCCGAGCTCCGCGGCCGCCCTCCTTCCCGTCCTGCTGCGCGGGCTGCGCAATCAGCTGTTCCGTGGCCTGTTCTAGTTCGACCGCGCTGTGGCCCGCGTCGCTGCGACAGAAGGTGGGCATCAATTCCCAAGACGCCTTCCAGCCTCGGGATGCTTTCCAGCACCCGTGTCTCGCCGAGGACGTTCCGGTGAGGCGGGGGGGGAAATCGCCTCGAACGACCACCAGAATGCCCGAGCCATGGGCCGAAAACTAAACTTCCTCGAGTCGTCGACAAGTAACGACGGAGCGCCTTCGCCATGTTATGCCCCTGGGGGGCCAGGCACCAAGCCACGAGGCAGTCAGAAAAGGACTCGGAGCCCGTCCCCCGGGCCAAGTGGTCCGGAAGACGTCCAGACCTCCAGGGCTCCACGCTGCGAACAAGTCAGGACGTCGGAGTCTGGGAACGGGAGGGGTAGGGGACGGGACCATCCTCCCTAGGCCCAGGAGCCAGTGCGGCAGTAGCGCCCCGCCACCCCGCCACCCCGACCCCCCGCAGGAGGAGAAGGCGGAGGAGAAGGGGGAGGAGGAGGAGGAGGAGCGGGAAGGAGGAGGAGGAGCGAGGAGGAGGAGGAGGAACGAGGAGGAGGAACAGGAGGAGGAGGACGAGGAGGAGGAGGAGGAGGAGGAGGAGGAGAGAGGAGAGAGGAGAGAGGAGAGAGGAGAGAGGAGGAGAGAGAGAGGAGGAGGAGGAGGAGGAGGAGGAGGAGGAGGAGGAGGAGGAGGAGGAGGAGGAGGAGGAGGAGGAGGAGGAGGAGGAGGAGGAGGAGAGAGGAGGAGAAGGAGGAGGAGGAGCGAGGAGCGAGGAGCGAGCGAGGAGGAGGAGGAGGAGGAGGAAAAGGAGGAGCGAAGAGGAGCGAGGAGGAGGAGGAGGAGAAGGAGGAGGAGAAGGAAGAGGTTGCCAGAAACTTGAGGATTTGTGTTGTCCCCTTCTGTGGTTCGTCTGCAGGCCTCCAGGGCTTCCCCGCAGACGCCCCTGGGGCAGAGGCCCGCAGGAGGGGGAGCGGGGAAGGGGGAATGGGCGGGGAAGAGGAGGGGGAGGGGGGGGGGAGGAGAGGGGCGAGGGCAAGCTATGTGCGCTCGCGTCATATCTGACGTCCTACCCCTCCCTCCCATCCCTTACCATGGCGCTGATTTTCTCTATCCGCGGACGCGTGTCGTAGCGGACCTGTGGCTCCGCGCACGCGTGCGTAGTGGGTGGTGGTGCACGTGCTTGCGTGCTTGCGTGCGTGTGTGCGTGTGTGCGTGGTTGTGGTTGTGGTTGTGGTTGTGGTTGTGGTTGTGGTTGTGGTTGTGGTTGTGGTTGTGGTTGTGGTTGTGGTTGTGGGTGGTGGTGGTGGTGTGGTGGTGGTGGTGGTGGTGGTGGTGTGGTGGTGTGTGTGCGCGTGTGCGCGTGTGCGCGTGTGCTGTGGTGTGACGTGGTGTGGCGTCTTGGTGGTTTGGTGGTGGGCCAGGTGCGTGCGTGCGTGATGGCGGTGGTGGTGGCGGTGGTGGTGGTGGTGGTGGTGTGTGTGCGTGTGTGTGTGTGTGTGTGTGTGTGTGTGTGTGTGTGTGTGAGTGTGTGTGTGTGTGTGCGTGCGTGCGTGCGTACGTGCGTGCGTGCGTGCGTGTGTGTCTGTGTGCGCGCGCGTGTGATATGGTGTGACGCGGTGTAGCGTGGTGGTGGTGGGTGGGGTAGTGGGGTGGTGGTGGTGGCGGTGCGCGGTGGTGGTGCGCGTGCGTGTCTGCGTGCGTGCGTGCGTTGGTGGGTGGAAGTGGCGGAGGGCGGGGCGGGGCGCGGTGCGGTGGTGGCGGGCGGATGGGCGCGCGAGAAAGAGGCCCGCGCTGGGGCGAGAACGCCATCCTGAACGACGGAGGCAAAACAACGACCCGAAAATGAGGGAGTACGATTCGGAACGAGCGGAAGCCCGAAAATGAGGCCGGCGTCTTAGCGAGAGAAGCATTTTGAAAAAAACTCAAGCGAAAACTCAACTCCGGGAAATTCTGTGTGTAAAAAAACGATACTCGGAGGGGTGCCCGCCATCTTCCGCACGCCATCAGGGGAGGGAAGAGAGTGTATTCATATTGAGTAATCGTGAAGGGAGGGCTCAGGAGGAGGAGGAAGGAGGAGGAGAGGGAGAGGGGGAGGGAAAGGGAGGGGGGGAGGAGTGGGGAGAGGAGGGCGGGAGGAAAAAACACACAAAATCACATGTCCAGGCGGCCTCTGGCTTTCCGTGATTTCTCGCAGCGTGGACCCCCGGAGGTCCAGGCCACTTCTCAGGGGGTCGTCTTCTCGTCATGCATCGCTCTTTGACGGCCCTGGGGCCCCCAGGAACCCTAAAAACCGCGGAAAGTCTCTCGCCGTGATTTTTCCACTGCAATCGAAAATATGATCAAAAAACTATGTAAACTCAGAAATCTGGGCCAACTTCCCGGAAGTTTCTTCAAACGAGCCTGGGCCAATTCCTGTGTCTAACGCTGGAGGCGTAAACGTGTTCAAGTAACCGGGCCAGCTTTCCGGCAGTTGGCTGAGACATGCTGGCCCAGCTTTTCGCGAAGAGGTTTCTTAACCAGATGCCCGACTGCACAGGAGGTGAGGGTCCAAGCTTTCATGGAGTGTGCGAACCCCCCGCTCGGACTCGAGATATTCGGTGGGAGACCCTAGGAGCCCTAAAACGATGAGCTGCAGGTCCTCCAGGAGAGCGGGAGGTCTACTTCACATATTAGCGAAACAGCCGCTCCAATTTATGCCATTCGGCGGGAACTTCTAGGAGAAACAATGGACCAAATGTAGGCTCACACAAAACGGATGGTCCATTCCACCTGTGTTTGCAAGGTTTGCGGATATCCAATCGGATTGCAACCCTGCGGTGGTGCCCATGACTGGAAACACACCACCCGTTTAGCTGGATGCGAGACTCCCTCCGACGAGCGGCGGACGAGAAGGGGAAATCGAAGTCAGATGGGAGTGATGGATGGCAGTGTGATTGAGGATCACGGTGGCGATGACAATGCTGCGTGCAGACAAGGAGGTGTCAGACGAGAGTGGCGCTGACGAAGGAGGGTGGCCGTGAGCGGGCTCCTTCCTGCGCGGCGGGGAGACCTCGAGAGCACGAGGATGAGGACAGATGAGGGCGACAAGGATGATATGACGATGGTGATGATGGTGATGGTGATGGTGATGGTGATGATGATGAGGAGGAGGAGGAGGAGGAGGATGAGGATGAGGATGAGGATGAGGATGATGATGATGATGATGATGATGATGATGACGATGATGATGATGATGATGATGATGATGATGATGTTGACGAGAACGACGATGTTGCTGATGATGATTGTGATGGCGACGACGCGAGCGAGAATGGGGACGAAGATGAGGTCAAAAGGCGAGGGCCGTGCGCGGGTGTGACGCTCCGTCGCTCCTGCGCGGGGAGGGGGAAATGCGCTGGCAGGCCCCCCGCGCGGGCGGCTTGGCCATGCGCACCACTTTGGACTTAAGTCGGGCATGTCTCCCTACAGGCGGAGTTCGGACGAAAAAGTTAAACAATTAGAATTATTCCAGAAAGGCCCCCCCAAATTGTCAAAAAGAATAAACAAATTGTCCCCCGACTATTTTTTGCTTTTCTTGAATTTTCCCCCTGTAGAGGGACACGCCCGACTTAAGACTTGGCCATGCGCACCACTCTAGATGTGGGGAAGGACATCCAGACAAGCTGGGTGGCGAAGAATCCGAACCGAAAGCCTAGGCACCCGCGAAATGGAATGCACGTGTGCCTGACCATGGTCTGGTCCTACCTTCACATGCGCCATACTCCTCTTTCTCTCTCTCTCTCTCTTTCTCTCTTTCCCCATTTGTCTCGGCCAACGAGTGTATATACTATGTGTCGGTCATCCCCAAAATCATCTGAACGGTCCTCCTGCTGCTTCTGCCTGGACAACTGCAGCTTCTCCGAACTGTCCTTCGAGTACGCCAGCCGGCTCCAAAAATGAACCTGGCAAGCAGGCCCTCGCTGTATAAAAACGAACGCAACCTCCTGCAGAACTTTCCGACCAGGAACCTCGACTCGGAAAAACATGGTGTGTGCGGAGGGGGAAGGGGAGAATTCGAGGGCGAGAGAGAATAGAAGAACGAGCCGGACACGGAGGAGGCCGAGGAGGACGAGGAAACAGGGGGCGGTTCACCCAGCTTCCCTGCGCCGCTCTGCAGCTACGTATTCGGCGTCCTTCTCTGGCCGATGAACAGGGCCCGGTAAATGGGGCCTGTGATGTGCCAGGGCGTAGGTACGCCCGAGCATGCTGCACCCATGGGCCGAAACATTCTTCGGTATTCGCCTCCTCCCACCGGATCTTGCAGAATCCTGGCTTCCAATGTCATGGCTCCATGGCCCTGAGAGATTCGGCTACACGCATGGAGTGACCCAGGCATGAGTGGCATTTGGTGTGCGCGGCTTTTGCTCACATCGGTCCATCCCGAGCACCCTCCGTCATCCAACGGCGGAAATCGCTCAAGGCGTGCCGGATCAGGGCCGCCGTTGGCCCTGGGCAACCAATGACATCTGAGGCGCAACGCCCCTTTGGGGCAATTTGGCGTTGATTTGGAAAGCCATGCCTCGGTCAACATCCTCGCGCGTGTGGAGCACACCTGCAGTGGCGCGACGAAGACCGTGCGTTCATTTCTGGCTGCGCACGCGTGAGGATGTTTCGATCATCGCGGCGACGTTCGCTCAGAGATGACGTGTGTGCCCCCCTCCCCAGTGGAGTTCGTTGCCCTTGTCGCCGCGCGCCCTGCCACGGTTACGAGGCCCCCCAACCCCACGATGATGTACAGTCGAGGCAAGCTTTCTGAACAAGAACGAATACGTGTCTAAAGGGAAGCATTATGAACCAACAGAAGCTGAGGCGCGCTGTCGCATCATCAATATAGCGCAAGCTCTGTTCATCAACGAAGATGTGTGACAGAGCCGTCTCCCAAAAATGCAACGATGCAAAGCGAAGCAATTGTTGAACCTTTTGCTTGTTTCCTCGCCACGCCTGGCTTCCATTCAAAGGGAAGTGGGCCCTCCGCCGCGTGGCCCCAGACAGGCACTTCGCGCAGCCGAGGCCATGGCATCCGACGCCACACTCGCTCGAGCCACGAGGAGGCCCTTTCCGAACACGACCGGGACCTGCGAAAGAAGCTCAAGACACGAGCAGAGATGTGGGGCGAGCATCGAGGCCAGGCTCGCGGTGAAATGGGCCTCCCATGCTGCGGGGGTGTCCGCGCAGAGTCGGAGCGCCTCTGCCTTCTCCCATCGTTCCTCCAAGGCCCTCTCTACCTCCTTGGGAGCCCCTGCAACCTCCACCGAGTTCGCAAGGAGTCCCGGGTGCGGAGCAGCCTATCAATAGCCTCCCGAAGGACCTGTACGTCCTTCAGCGCTACCCGTGTGTTCTCTCGGTCGTGGGCGGTCTCATCTAACAAAGCTTGCAACTTCGCCACCTTGGCCTGGGGAACCAGATCGTGCCCGCCTCTGTGTCAACGTGCCTACGTGTAGACCCCAACGGAGTTGGTCGGCGGAGAAGTTTACCTCTCCTTGTTTCTCTCCCGCAAGTATGGTGATCGGTCCAAAGATCAGGCGTGCCCCTGTTTCTGCAAGGCGGCCTGCGATCCATGGTTTCCTTCCTAATATCGGCTCGATGCCCACGTCATCATCCATCAGGAGGTGGGAATGATGGGGCACTTCGTCGCGCCACCCGGATGGAGTTAATCCTGGTGTTCCTGCACTTGCGCGTGGGACAAACACTCTTTGACCAGCAAATGAGTTTAGGACACGTAGCAACCCCCGCAATTGCGGATAACAGTAAGGGGGCGGGCGGGTGGGTCGTGGGGTGGGTCGCCGGGCGGGTCGCGGGCGGGTCACGGGGGAGACGACATCAGCAATTATTTTAAGACTGTTCGCTCGTATCTGCTCCCGTGCCATTCAACACGTGTATTCCAAATCCTCGATCACCGCCCTCTTCGTCTTCGATCGGACCCCCTTGGGGGTATATCGTCCTTATCTGCGACGTGTGTTTGGCGCAGCCCCTGGAAGAGGGGACGAGAGGACGGATGCAAGGAATGGGGCAAGAGGGAGGGAGAAGCATGGAGCACGAGAGTGGTTGACAGGAGAGAGGCTAGGAGCAGAAAGCACGTGGCAAAACAAGGCGGGCAGATCGGGCGGGACGACCCACAAGGGCGGGTCGGAAAGCCCCGTCGAGCAGGGCAGGCTGCAGAAGCATGAGTCCTGCTTGAATCGCGAAGAAGTTTCGAGCGATAGCGCGTTTTTTGGAAGGACTGAGCGAAAGCGTGGTTCCTGAGTGTCGAGGGCGCGGAGTCTGAGTCTATATATATATATATATATATATATATGGAGGAAACACCACGCTACATCAGGTTTCCTGCGTGAAATTGTGAAGAAGTCCTGCGCGAGACCGCGATGTGGGGAAAAAGCGGAGAATGTAGCAGGCGGAAGCCGTTGAATTCTCGTTTGTAAAACAAAATGGTTGATCCCCTCAGGTGCACATTGCGTTCTTCAGTGCTCCCCCCGGGTGTCGCCTCTTGCTTTTTACAAGCGAATGCCTTGGTGCTCACACTGGGCCCGTGGCCCGCCAATTTACAATAACAACGGTTCCCGCCTGATATCTCCCTACAGTTTATTCCCAAATCGCGCTCTCGCGTGGGAGTCCCTCCGAATGTATGCAGAGTCGCGCTCTCGTGTGGTACCTCCCCACGGTGTATTGCAGCGCCGTGGCCCCAAGACTTAGGAATCACGCTCTCGCTGTTGATTTCCAAACGACTTACCTGGGAGTCGCGCTAGCACTCGAAACTTCCTTGCGATTCGTGTTGGAATGACGCTTCGGCGACCCGCCCGTTCGACCCAGCCGTCTGGGCCGGCCTGCCCAACCTGCCCGTTAGAGTCCGCCCGCCCGACCCGCTTGTCCGGTTTTGCCGTTTGTGCTCCTGCTGCTAACCCTCTCCTGCAAATCTCTCTCGTGCTCCATCCTTCTCCCTCCCTCTTTTCTCTTCCCTCCTCCCTTCCCTCCCCTGTTTCGGAGCTGCGCCAAATTCACGCGGCAAGCAGGGACGATCTACCCCCAAGGGAGGCACGATCGAAGACGAAGAGGGTGGGTATCGGCTGTTGAGGATATACGTGTTGAGTGGCATGCGATCGTATCAGAGCTATACATCCGAAAATGAGTGCTTTTGCTTTTGTTTGAAAGCGGCGGCCAACAACAAAATCTGAGCCTCGACATTTCCCGTGCAAAGAAACAGGACAGGGTGCGGGCCCCGGGAGGCGCATTTTCATAGAAAAACAAAGTGGGCACTGGGGAGGGACGATCAACAAAATTATTCGCTAGAAAAGAAAATGCAAGAAACCAACGCAACGCAAGTATTCGACGCAGGGATCCCCATATGTGCATGTAGTTTCCTGGTACGTTCCGCTGCGAGCGTTTGGGTCTGAGTGGGCTTGGCATGAAAGTCTGAGTGCGGGTGAGCCTGCGCGTGAGTGTGAGTCTTAGCGTGGGTGAGCTTATGCGTATGAGTCTGAGTAGGACTACGCTTAATGTAGGTGCATCTGCGCCAGAATGGTCAGAGTACGGGTGCGGCAAAGAAACAACTCTTTCCTTCTCCTCCTACGTCCCCCTTCGTCCTAAACCGTCTTTCCTCTCCTCCTCCTCCTCCTCCTCCTCCTCCTCCTCCTCCTCCTCCTCCTCCTCATCGTCATCGTCATCCTCCTCCCTGGCGGCTATCCTCCCTCCCCACACACACCTACGTGTATCTCCTCCTCCTTTCTCCTGCTCCGTCCTCCCTCCTCCTCCCTGGTAAGTGTGCTCCTCCCCGGCGGCTCCTCCTTGGGGTGCCCATGTGCAGGATACAAGTGCTTTATCGCGGCGGCCATGAGGCTCTCAAACGAGAGAGGCCTGGGCCACCAATCAGGCAATCCGCCCAAGACATCCCCACACTGGCTGCGAACGGGGAACTGAAATATACCCCGACGGCTCCATCTGGGCTGAAACCAGCGCCACGCTCGAGGCATCCTCACCATCTGCTCTGAAACCAAAGCACTCTGGGCACCCAAACGGGCAATCCGCTGGAGACAACCCCACCATCTGAGCGCGAACGGGCCCATGAGTTGCCCGCCCCTGGAGAGTGCTGAAACCAGCGCCTCGCTCGAGACATCTTCAGACTCTGCTCTGAACGCAGAGGAGTCTGGCCACCAAGACCGGCAAACCGCCCGAGACATCCTCGCAAATTGAGCCCCTAGCGGTGCTGAAACCAGCGCCTCACCAAATACATCCTCAGAATCTGTTCTGAACGCAAACGAGTCTGGTCACCAAAACAAAGAAACCGCCCGACACATCCTTACAACATGGGCCCCCTGGGGTACGAAAGCCAGCGCCTCGCCTCAGCCATCCTCAACATCTGCTCTGAAACCAGAACATGTTTGGCACGCAAACGAGCAAACCGCTCGAGACATTTCAACAATCTGGGCGCAATCGGGTCCGTGCAATAGCCCGTGGCGCCCCCCTTGGGTATGCGAAAACCAGCGACTCACCTGAGACATCCTCAACATCTGCTCCGAAAGCGGAAGATGTTGCGCGCGCAAGCTGGCAAACCGCTCGAGACAGCCCCGCCATCTGGGCGCAAACGGGCCCGTGCAATACCCCTTGGCGTCCCCCTTGGGGGTGCGAAAACCAGGATCTCTCTCGAGACATCCTCTAAACCTGTATCGTCATCATCATCATCATCATCATCATCATCATCATCATCAGCAGCAGCAGCATCATCATCATCAGCATCATCATCATCGTCATCATCATCATCAGCATCATCATCATCATCATCATCACCATCACGACCGTGATCATCATCATCATCATCATCAGCATCATCATCATCATCATCGTCATCATCATCATCATCATCATCATCATCATCATCATCATCGTCCTCATTATCATCATCATCATCATC